GCTTCCCGCCTATTCACATGGTGGGGTCCTGTGAGAGTGTGGGGCCAGGGCCAGCTTCCCGACTGACCACACTGTGGGGGCATGGTCACAACCTTGCCAAGTGCATGTGCTTTACTCCCTGAAGGTTGGAGCGGGTCTGGTGGCCTCGGGGCAAAGGAGCAGGGCATCCAGGACCCCATTAAGGGCGGAGATGTCCGGGACAAGTGGGACCAGTACAAGGGTGTGGGCGTGGCCCTGGACGACCCTTATGAGAATTACCGCCGCAACAAGAGCTACTCCTTCATTGCCCGAATGAAGGCCCGAGATGAGTGTGAGTAACAGTGTTGGTGGGCATTGTGGATGTTGCTTTGTGCTGGAAAAGTAGGAGTGACAGACGGCCTTGTTCTCATACAGTCTCCACGTTTGGGGCACGAAAGGAAGAGAAGGAAGACTAACACAGGCCTTGGGCGACACTGCTCAGTGTGAAAGGGGCTCCGGCTTGGCCTGCGTGTGCCCTGGGGAGGTGACGCAGATATCTCCGCCTCTCAGTGCCAGGATAGCAAAGCTCAAAACCAAGACAAACCCACACCCAGTCCAGAACCCAAGTCCTACTCACAGTGCTGCGCAGCCTGGAGCCAAGTAGTAAGAAGGCCACCGTACTGCACATGACAGCCAGAAAAGCTCAAAAGCCCAGCCTCTGAGCCAGAGGCCAGAAGGAATTTCATTTTGGTTCCACCTGGTTTTGTGTTAGAAAAAACAGAAAGCTGACCCCTGGGGTGCAGGGATTAAGAGACCCCTGACTTTCTCAGTTTATCATTTAGGTGTATTTTTATCCCTTTCCTCAAATGTTAGCTGTTTGCTATTACCTGGACACAGCTTTTGAGGACACAGGGTTGAGCCTCTCAGGTCAAGAAAAGATGGCCTCCAGAGCCCCTCCACCCAGCATAGCGCCTCAACTTGTAGCTCCTGCCTGGGGAGCCCAACACCAGGGAGGAGCACCCCAGAACATGGGGTGCCATGGGGTATAGGGCGCCAGCCAGCACTTCCTGGCTCTCGTTTGATTTGTGTACCCCAGCCATTTCCAGAGGGGGAGGGAGGCGAGGCCCGGGAGCACCCTGGAGCTGTAGCAATCTGGTGCCAGTTATTTGTACAGAGACTTTTGAAATGTTCTTTTCGATAAAATGCAGAGCCCTCTACAACTTCTCAGCACCACATAAGACACTTGACTTTTGTTTTAGATTTCCCATAGCTGTGACGTGTGCAGACGTGTCTGACTTGGGATAAACAAGCAAGACACATGTGCTGTTAACAACTGATTGTGGATTTTACTGTTTTGCCTTCAAATAAAGCCTTTTGTAAAAGATCACGTCGTCCATCTGTGGGTGAGGTGCACGTGGGCATTGCGCAGGCTGCTCTTGGGTAGACGCAGGCTGTGTCGGACACCATGCTCAAAAGACCTGTCTCAGTACCTGGCATGGAATGTTCCCGTGGGGCAGCTGGTCCTCTTGTGAATGATGCAGATGCCTGACTTGCGCTGACTCATACCTCTGTCCCGCTATGAATAGCCTGTAGCAGGTCGTCAGCTGTCCGCATGGTGGGTCTGCATGGTAGCCACTGTGTAGATGGGGGCTTAGAAACCATATATGGTTGTTACTGAGCAGGGATTGCCTGGGAGGTCCCAGCCTTGCCTGCCCCCACATGAATGAGGTAGACCGTGGTAACCAGGTAAGTCTCACCTGCTAGGACTTAAGCTCCTCCTTCACCTCCTGAAGGGCAGCCTCCATGGTCAGGGGTGCGGGTCTGTGACACCTGATGTACTGTAGGACACAGGATGGTAAATAGAACGATGGGTGGTGAGGCTGGGCCACAGACTGCCCCAAGTGAAGAACATGGTCAGACTGGGAAGGTATCCATCTTAGGGTAAGAGACTGAGGGGTGGAACACACATGTGATCCTAGCATTTGGGAGGGAGGCTGAGGCTGGGGAATATGAAATTCTGGACTATACAGCAAGAACCATCAAAAGTAATGTGGAGGGCTGGAGAGATGGCTCAGTGGTTAAGAGCACTGACTGTTCTTCCAGAGGTCTTGAGTTCAATTCCCAGCAACCACATGGTGGCTCACAACCACTTTAAATGAGATCTGGTGCGTTCCGCTGGCATGCAGGCAGAAGACATAATAAATAAATAAAATCTGCAAGATGGCTAAGTGGGATAACAGCACTTGTTGCTAGGCCTGATGACCTGACATCAATGTCCAGGGTCCACATGGAAGGACAGACTGAACTCCTGTCAGGTGTCCTCTGACCAAATGGAACTGGAACTGGACATAGTGACGAATGCCTGCACTTTAGAGGGAGGCTGAGGTAGGGGGCTTGCCATTGTCTGAGGCCAGCCTAGGCTGCAAGAGTGAGACCCTGCCAGGTGGTGGCAGCACATGCATTTAATCCCATCACTCTGGGAGACAGAGGCAGGTGGATCTCTGAGTTCTAGGCAGCCTGGTCTACAGAGTGAGTCCCAGGATGTCCAGAGCAACACAGAAACCCTGTCTCCACTAAGAAAGAAAGGGAAGAGAAAGTAGGAAGGGTGCTCTACTGAGTTTAGCCCAAGAAACAAGCAGCTGCAGCCTGTCTGGTCTGGAAGGACACAGGCGTCACCCCTGACATGGTGTCCAGAGTGAGATGTCTGAAGCCCCATCCTGAGAGTACGGGCACCCCCAGGCCCATTGCCAGCCTCAGGTCGTCTCTGACAACTCCCCTTCCCAGAGTTACATTATGTGGCTGTGTACCAGTTACCTCTTTGGTTTCCTCCAGGGTGTGGTAGTGAAATGAGTCCCCATCCAGGGACTGTAGGAGGGACATGTGCAGATGGCGGCTGGCCTCGGTGAACTGCTGTGTCAGGCTCAGCTGTTGCTTCAGCATGTCATTCAGCGCCAACACCGCAGGGCTGTAGGCTGTCAGGGCTGCACCCACCCAGGGTCACTCAGTGGCTCTCCAGTGCCACCCGTGCAGCCCACACCTCCCTGCCCCTGAGTCCAGACTCCTGAAGACCTGCTGTTTTCTGGCCTATCTTCCCCTCCCAGCAATGAAGCTGTTCCTGTGATCCATTCTGTATTAGCCACACAACAATTATACATTAGCTCCACTAAAGGTCAAGAAAAATCTTTCTTTAGCTGGGCATGGTGGCACATGTCTGTCATTCAAGCAGAGGAGTATGAGGCGCTAGGACCTGGGGCACCAAGCCAGCTTGAGCTATGTGCTGAAACCCTACACCCGATACTCCCACTCCAACCTCAAAGACATAAAATGGTTTGTTTTTGTTTGTTTGTTTGTTTGTTTGTTTTGGTTTTTTGAGACAGGGTTTCTCTGTGTAGCTTTGGAGCCTATCCTGGCACTCGCTCTGGAGACCAGGCTGGCCTGGAACTCACAGAGATCCGCCTGCCTCTACCTCCCGAGTGCTGGGATTAAAGGCGTGTACCACCAATGCCCGGCATGCTTTGTGTATTTTAAGAGACAGGGATTCACTATAAATTCAAGTGATCCCCCTGCCTCAGCTGCCCAAGAAGCTTTGTTTACAGGCTTAGGATTGCCAAGTTCCCTTAAAAGGGAACAAAACTGGAGTTGGGCAAAATGACCCACTAAGTGAGCTTTTGACAGGCTGAGACAGACTTGGGGCTTCTCTGATGAGCTGACCACCAGTGAGTTACTTCCAGACTCCTGAGTTTGGTTAAGCGTAGGTGTCTTTTCACCAGAGACAGAAAGAGGTTCCAGCCACCCTTAGGCTGTCCAACAAGATCCTATCAGCTGCAGACAACACCCTCCCCCAGGACTCTGCAAAGCTTCAGAGAACATGTCGCATGCGGCAGGAATGGCTGGGCCTTGGAGATGCAAGGAGTGAGAGGAGTGAGGCTGTTACCTTCTATAGCATCTGCACTGACAACGTGACTGGCGATGGGTGCTGGGTCCACATAGGCGCCTCCAAGGGTGGGGCCAATGGCCGCCATGCCTCCAGCTGGTCCAAGACAAAGACAGGCTGTTGAGTATGGTCAAGGGCTCTAGTACAAGTACAATGAACTAAGCTGCAGCTGCCCATCCTGTCTCCTTCTGGATTGCTTACTGATTGGTTGGAAACAGGTTTGGAAACCATGGTACCCAAGTTTGCTTTGACTTCTGGGCTCCAGAAATCTTCCTGCCTCATCCTCTTGGCATCCAGGACCACATGTGCACAGGCAGTTTTATGTTGTTTTTGTCTACTTTTCGTGTGTGTGTGTGTGTGTGTGTGTGTGTGTGTGTGTGTGTGCAGACTGACACTGATGTCAGGAGTCCCCATGCATGCCCACTTTATTCTGGGTCTGTCTGGCCTCATTCCTGGAGCTGGAATGACAGGTGGGCCACCACAACTACCTGGCATTTACATTGGTTCTAGAGTTCCAGACCTTGATCCTCATGTTTGCAAGGCCAGCACCTGGCCACCAAGCATCTTCCCAGTCCCCACTGTTGATTTTAAAAGCTAATTCAGGTTTCCCCAAAGACAGGCTGGGGTGTGGCTTAGTCTGCAGAGAGCCCATTCCCTGCACCAAGTGGAGGCACAGGCCTGTCATCCCAGCACTCAGGAAGCTGAGGCAGGAGATAAATTCAGGGTCATCTTCAGCTTCATGTCCAATTTGAAGTCAACCTAGATTGCATGAAACCCTTATCTCAAAAAAACAAACAAAAAGCCCTAAAAGACACGCATACATACATACATACATACATACATACATACATACATACGTGTGTGTGTGTGTGTGTGTGTGTGTGTGTGCGCGCGCGCGCGCTCCCAGGCACAAAGTAACAGCCAACTGATCACCAATGCTCCTGCCCCTCACAAGAAAGAACAGCTGAAGGCCCCTGGCCCCAACAATGTCAAACAAGGCTAATACAGTGAAGCCCCAAATTCAAAATCATCAGGTAGAAACCACAGCCCTCTCCAGCAGAGAGGGAGGTGGGAGGGCGCAGCCACCCTGCCTGCAGCTGACTAAGGAAAGGGGCCAGAGCAATGCTGGGAAAGAAAGGAGAGAAACACCTGAAAAGTACCCGTGGGCATGACGAGAAGAGCTGCCGTCAGAATATGCTGGCCTCTAAGGTCAGACACATGACCTGCAGCACAGCAGCCCTTGGAAACTGTGCAGTCTGGACTGTGCCTAGTGAAGGCCTGGGTGCAGGGGGTTGCAGACAGGTTGGTGGGTGGGTATCCTCCTGTGCCCTCCCCGTAGCAGGCTTCTGGGCACCAGGAGTACTCTGCCACTGTGGTGGCACCCTGAATGTCCACAGACTTCACTGTCTGCCTAGGGTCTGAAATGGCCTTAGTCTTTGGTTCTGAAACCAAAGCTGGGAAGCTACCAGAAACACCCTTGTCCTGGGAAGAAGAAACAGGATACCAGGATCCACCCCCAAGCTGGTTAATGACGAGTCTAGATTGGAGGACCTGTCCTTTTCCACCCACCCCCAAAGACACTGCAGCATCGCCTGGGCTCCAGGTTCCCATAGGCCCCTCACTCACCCTTGCTCCACTGGTAGACAAAGGCAGGATCAAGCGTCTGCACAGCTGTCTCCTTCACGACTCTCGTCACCCCTTGGCCCCACTGTGTCCTCGATAGGGATCGTCTGGAAAGAAGACCTGTCTGCCCCCTGGAAGAATACTGTGACAAAGTGTCCTGTGTCCTGCCGAGTGATGCCTCTGAGGCCAAGGATCTAGAGGATGGCTCAAAATCCTCAGAGTAAGCTGGGCTGGCCGTGAGTGCAGTGAGAGCCTCCACAAACTGCATGCAGGACATGCTGTGAGACTGCACAGTTTCAGCGGAGCTGTCAGCCAGATGCTCTGAGACCTCAGTGGCGAGACCCTCCTCATCAGCAACCGCGGTGGCCGTGCCCTCAAGTGCAGAGCTCTTGTGCTGGGGAGGCCCCTGTTCTTCCAGTCGAGAGGATGACATGGGTGGAGAGCCTCTGCCTGACATCCCTTCCCATCCAGAACCTTCCTCCTAAAGGGAGCAACGGCAGCAGAGCCAACATGGATTTTAGAAAGCTGAAACAGCGCCCCTTCAGTCAGCCACAGCAGCGTACATCTGTGACCCACAATTCTCAAGGGGACCATAGATTCTAGGCTAGCCTGGGCTACCACTTGGAACACAGAAGTAGGACAATGAGTTGGAGGCCAGCCTGGGCTACACAAGACCCTGTCTCAGAAAATGCTTGTAATCTCATCACTTGGAACACAGAAGCAGGAGGACTGCTTAGTTTAAGGTCAGACCAGGCTACCAAGTGAGACCCTGTCCTCCCAATCTCCCTAAAGAAAAGAATTAAAAATACTTTTCTAGCCAGGAGGTGGTGGTGCACACCTTTATCCCAGAACTCAGGAAGCAGAGGCAGGCAGATCTCTGTGAGTTCGAGGCCAGCCTGGTCTACAGAGTGAGTTCTAGAACAGAAAGGGTTACATAGTGAGACCCTGTTTCAGGGAAAACAAAAAAAAAGTGGTTCCGATCACTACTTTTTTGATTTTTGAAAAAGAGTCTCTCTATGTAGTCCTAGATATCTGGAATTCACTGTATAGACCAGTCTGGTCTCAAACTCAGAGATCCTCCTGCCTCTGCCTCCCGAGTTCTGGGATTAATGGAGTGTCCATCAGACCTGGCTTGATCATTTTGTTTACAAACATTACTGTTACATTTATTTAGTGTGTGTGCATATATGCAATTGCATGTGTTATGTAGTGTGTGCAAACGTGAGCACATGTGTAATAGTGTACATACAAGTGAGTGCTTGTGTGCTATTCTGTGTGGGCATATTTGAGAGCATGGGTGTTATTTAGTATGTGTGCACATGCTAACGTGTGTGACACTCTGAAGACAAAGGTAGGAGTCAGTGGGAACTATGGATTGAACTCAGGTTGTCAGGCTTGCATGCGAGCACCTTCACCTGTTGAGCGCCTTGCTTGTCCATGGAGTCCCTTCTGGACTTGGTCGATCTCTCTCCTCTCTTTCTCTCTTTGCTTTTTTTTTTTCAAGACAAGGTTTCTCTGGGTAGCCCGGGCTGTCCTGGAACTCACTCTGTAACCCACACGGGCTAGAACTCAGAGATCCTCCTGCCTCTGCCTCCCGAGTGCTGGGATTAAAGGCGTGCTCCACCACTGCCACCACCACCCACTGGCTAAGCTGTGGAACGCTTGAGATGAGAGCCAGAACATTCTTTGGATTAGTGACCACTAAGCAGTCTCCCTGGAATCCATTTCTACAGGTGCTGGTACCCCAAAGTCAACCAACAGGTCCCTAAATGTTGCCAACGTCACCAGAGGGACAGGACTGCTGAGGCTGAGCTCCATGGTCTAAACAGAATAGTCCAGCTGCAAACTCGCTACACTTTAAATAACTTGTGGTGGGTATGGCTGAGAGGCAGATCACTTGCCCAGCACAGGCCACATCCTGGGTCTGTCCCCAAAACTGCAAAAAAAGTAAATAAGGGCTGTTGTGATAGTTCAAGTGAGGGACGCACTTGATAGTTCAAGTGAGGGACGCACTTGGTAGTCTGTCTGTGCTCCTACCCAGGACTCACAGGGTAAAAGGAGAGGCCAGTTTTATCCTCTGACCTGTGTGTGACATGTGGTGCACCAGTGTGTACATGCATGACTATAGGTGAGGGAAAGTGCGGGGCGCACGCCTTTAACCCCAGCACTAGGGAAGCAGAGGCAGAGGCAAGTAGATGGGTCTCTGTGAGTTTGCAGCCAGTATAGTCTACAGAGGAAGCTCTGGGCTGGTCAGGACTACATAGTGAGACCCTGTCTTTAATTTAAAACAAAACAAAACAAAAAGGTAAACTGATACAATAATACTTACTTTCTGTTCCACATCTGATTTCTCTCCATCAGCCAGTACCAGGTCATCAATGGACAAAATATTAATTCTAAAATCTGTAATTAAAAAATAAGTGCACTGTAGGAGAGATGGCTCAGCAGGTAAAGGTGCTTGCAGCCACGCCTGACAGTCTGAGTTCAATCCCTGGGACCCACATGGGGTAAAAGGACAGAGCTGATTGTTAGTTGTCCTTAATTCCATATGGGCACCATGGGCTCCCTCACACATCATACAATAAAGAAAAAGAAGCCAGGGGCTGGAGAGATGGCTCAGTGGTTAAGAGCACTGACTGCTCTTCCAGAGGAAGCGAGTTCAATTCCTGGTACCTATATGGCCGCTCACAACCATGTGTATCAGCTTCTGGGGTGCAGATGGACACACAGACAATGCACCCATATACATAAAATGCAGAAATAAGTAAATCTTTTAAGGCAAGTAAAGCCAGGCATGATGGTACATGCCTTTAATCCCAGCACTCAGGAAACTAAGGCAGGTAGATGGATCTCTGTGAGTTCAAGGTGAGCCTGGTCTAGATAGTGAGTTCTAGAACACACAGGCTATGTTGAGAGACCCTCCTGTCTCAAAAACACAAAGTCATGAATCTGGGAGAAAGATTGATGGGTGGGGAGACACTCCCAGAATGTACTGCACACGTGTATAAGATTGTCAAAGAACAAAACTACAAAGTTACTGAAGTGGAGAATACAGCCATCTATCAAAATGTCAGTTCTGTCCCTCAAGGACCCTCAACAGAATCATTTCCTGCCCTTCTTCATCCCGCCCAGTGATGATGCAGCAAGACACCCCCACGCAGCCCACAGAGATCCCCCTGCCAGGTCAACCTCCACTCTCTGAATTATCCAGCCTGGGCTGTAGCTCAGAGATACAGCACTTGCCTAGCATGCATGAGGCCCTGAGTTCAATACCCAGCACTGCTAAATTAACTGATTAAATAAATAACTCAGGGTGGGGACAGTTTTTGAGATAAGGTCCCATATAACCCAGATGGAGTCAAACTCAGTAGGTACCTGAGGATGGCCATGAAGCCCTGGTCCTCCTGCCTCTACCTACCTCTCCCTCCCCTGCTAGGATGACAGATAGGCACCACCACACCCAACAACACCCATAACTTTTAATTTATTTATGAGTGTTTGTCTGCATGTTTGTATGCACACCACGTGTGTGCAATGCCTGCGGAGTCCAGAAGAGGGCATCATATCCCCTGAAACTGGAGTTACAGGCAGTTGTGAGTCACCACATGGGTGCTAGAACTGAACCTGGGTCCTCTACAAGAGCAGCCAGTACTCTTAACTGCTGAGCTGTCTCCCCAGTACCACCCACAGCTTTTGAGTGTGTTTCCCTTTCTCTGACCAAGGCTTGGCTACATGAAAAGAACACTCAGGCCTAGGGCTGGTGGCACATGCCTGTCTTCTCAACACTCAGTGGTAGAGGTACGAGGACAGACAAATGAGGTACCGAGGCAAACTATTATCTCAATAAAACAAGGGATGTGTATTGTACCAGCCTCAATGTCTACAATGCTGCTCTAACAGCATCAAGAGCAAGATTTTCAACTGACTGGCAGTTTACCCAGGCCTTTTGTGATGTTGGGACTCGCCACCTACACACCCACTGCCCACAACAATGCCTTAGGACAGCAGACTGAGCACACTGACGGTAGCCTCACCCTTCCCACCAAAGTGATGGGTTACCATGGAGGCTGTCATCAGCAGCTTCTGAGACTGGCTCCTCTGAAGACCTTCCCTCGCTCCTGCTGGGGGAGGATGCCAGCTTGATGCACCCCATCTTTGAAGATGCTGATTTTGAAAGGTCATTTGTGACGGAAGGTGAGGATGTGAGGGAGACTGTGTCTCCAGTGTTGAGAGTCCATGGGGAGTCGAGCCGATAGAAGAGACGAGAAGGCTTTGAGCTGGAACAGTCCACACTGAGCAGAGATGGGACTCCTGGCTGAGTTGAAGTCTGATCCTACTTTTGTGAAAAGAAAGGACTGAAGATACCAAACTTAAATCACAGAAACTCTTACCATCTCACAGAGCCACTGATGGGTGGGTGACTCAGCCAGCAAGATGGCTCACGGAGCAAAGACACTTCTGCAAGTCTGAAAGTTTGAGTTCAATCCCTGGGACCCACATAGTGGACAGAAGTGAATGTACCTTGGGGAGTTGTCCCCTCAGCTCCAAGTACACACATGTATACACATGCACACACATGTACACACACAAGCAGGTGTGTATGCATGCACAAACACACACTCGAAAATAAATGTTTTTTTTTTTAAAAAAAAATCTACTCTAAGGGACAATGACTAAGTAAGGTACCTGCCATGTGAGCACAAAAACATGAATTTGATCCCCAAATGGTGGGAATAGAGGTGCACACTTTTCATTCCAGTGCTGGGGAGGCTGACATCTGAGGATGCCTGGGGCTCACAGGCCAGCCAGTCTAGGCTCAGCAGTGAGCCCCAGGCCAAGAAGAACTTATCTCAGAAAGGAAGGTGGACAGCGGCTGAGGAAGGACAGCCAAGATTGATGTCTGGTTCCCACACACCAGCACGTGTCACACCCACACACTTCTCTCTGATCAGCCATTTCTGGAAGTCAGGTACATGTTTAGATGATGATGGGGTTGGGCATGGCTAGAGCAGAAGGATCTCAGGGGCTGAGTTTCTCTCCTGGGTTCAGATTCTTCACCCAGCCTAGGAGGCCAATGCAGGTACAGCCAAGTTGGGCAACAGCACCCCGGTGGTCCCATCTAGAGGCACTGCCACCAAGCTCACGGTGGGTGACCACAGCGGATGGAGGCCTTATGAAAGAGCCCCAGAGGAGCCAGCAGGTGGCAATGGCTAGAGCCTTCCTGAGCTGAGCTGCTCCAGGGTCTCCCTGAGTGACAAGCACCTGCAGTCACCTGACACTTGCTCAGAGCAGACACCAGGGACTTCCAAAGTGCTTCAGCACTCTTACGTCTGTAACTGCACTTCCGAGATGGCCACTCACAACTTAGCTTGTTGTCCTCTGTAAAAAGGTTCTTGCTACATAGAGAATACAAGACTAATGCATGTGTGTCCTAAATAGAGTCCTTCATGAGACATGTGGGAGAGCACCTGAAGGAGAGACAGAACCCATCCACAGAGGGTACAACCCAGCACAGCTGTGAGCTCTAGGAGACATGCTGATACCCACAAGGTGACTGCAGCCCACACATGCAACAAAGTGAACAAGGAGGTCTTGTGAGAGCAATAAGGTTGTGAAAATCCCAGTGCTGGGGCAGGTGACCTCCCTAGGAAGGCCCTAAAACAACTGTCATAGCTGTTGGTCACATTGAAAGACTGGATGGGGAGGCTGGACTGCTGAAGATATCACACGCTTTGGTTGCAAGACTTGGAAAAGTAAGGATAGGAGCCGGGCGTTGGTGGCGCACGCCTTTAATCCCAGCACTCGGGAGGCAGAGGCAGGCAGATCTCTGGGAGTTTGAGACCAGCCTGGTCTACAAGAGCTAGTCCCAGGACAGCCTCCAAAGCCACCGAGAAACCCTGTCTCGAAAAAGCAAAAAATTAAAAAAAATAAAAAAAAAGTAAGGATAGGAGCCGGGCGTTGGGGGCGCACGCCTTTAATCCCAGCAGTCGGGCGGCAGAGGCAGGCAGATCTCTGGGAGTTTGAGACCAGCCTGGTCTACAAGAGCTAGTCCCAGGACAGCCTCCAAAGCCACCGAGAAACCCTGTCTCGAAAAACCAAAAAATTAAAAAAAATAAAAAAAAAGTAAGGATAGGACTGAGCAAAAGTGTACCTGCCCAGATGCACGCCTATAAAACAGGTGCTCAAAAAGCAGAGGCAAGAGGATCTTTGTGAGTTCAAGGTCAGCCTGGTCTACATACCCTGTCTCCATTAAAAAACAAACACACAAACAACAACAAAAATAAACTGTCCCCTCCATGAGGGCTCACTCTTGCAGTGCCACAAGGCGGTACTCAGGGTGCTGGGGGGAGCATGACCCAAGGTCCTCAAGTTTATGACGGCAGTGCCAGGCAAGACCTGTCTATCAGCTGTTGAGTCAGTGGTGTAAGTGGTCAGAGGTAGAAACCGCCTCCTGAGTGGACTTAAGGCCCCTCCACAGAGGACATTCATAACTGCTACTTTGAAGTTACACAAA